TACCACTGAGCTTCAGCCTCAGCCTAACAGATGCTATTTATTAAACACATTCTAGATCTAGGTAGTGTTTGAAGTATTTTATATGGATAACTTCATTTAATCTCAAATATTCTATAAAGTAGGTGCTATTGCTTTCTTTTTTAAAAATTTTTATTTTATGTGTATGCGTGTATTGCCTGCCTGGACATAAGTGCACCCGTGTCCTGCAATGCCCGCAGAGGACAGAAGAGGCTGTCAGATCCCCTGGAACTGAAGTTACGGACATTTGTTGGCTGCCATGTGAGTGCTGGGATTCGAACCCGGGTCTTCTGCAAGAACAGCCAGTGTTCTTAACCACTAAGCCATCTCTCCAGCCCCATTGCTGACCTTCTTTTACAGATGAAGAAACTGAGGAAGATGTTCAGTAAGGTGTCCAAAGGCTATAAGCAGCTCAGCTGAGCTTTATTCAGTCTGTGTTATTAGCCACATAACAACCCCTTGGCGGATCCAGATTTAGAATCTGGCTCTACCAAGCAAGAGCTGTTCTCCTTCCCTTCCTCTTCCTTTTTCTCTTCCCTTCTCCGATCCCCTTCCCCCTCTTCCTCCTCCTCCTTCTGGCTTCTTTGTTTCAAATTCCTACTTAATTTCCTTCAGCATTATCCTCTTCAGGAATTTGAATAATGAAGGCATTTGTAATCAAAGAAAAGAAGAAAGGAAGGAAGGAAGGAAGGAAGGAAGGAAGGAAGGAAGGAAGGAAGGAAGGAAGGAGAGAGAGAAAGAAAGAAAGAAAGAAAGAAAGAAAGAAAGAAAGAAAGAGAAAAGAAGGGACCTTTGCTATTATACACATCAAATCTTCCTTTAATAAACAAGAAGATTAGAGTCTAGAGATGGATGGTTAATGACAGAATTATTGACATAAGAAAATCAAATAGGCCAGGCGTGGTGGCACACATCTTTAATCCCAGCACTGGGGAGGCAAAGGCAGGCAGATCTCTGTGAGTTCAAGGCCAGCCTGGTCCACATAGTGAGTTCCAGAACAGCTGGGGCTACAGGGAGATCCTGTCTCAAAAAAACAAAAAAAAAAAAAAAAAAGCTCTAGTTTTAGAGGTTAAACACCATCAAACAGCAAATCTACTAAGATAAATTTTAGATCTCTAGACTGCCTAGCTCAAGTTTTCTGAACCCCTGGAATCTAGATATCTTCCCAAGGGCTTTTGATAAACATGGATACTTCTGCCCATGGAATCCCAATCATTGGGCTAGAGCCTGGGCAACTGCCGCTTTTTAAAAAAATCACCTCCGAGTAAACCCCAACACAGTGAAGATTGAAAACCATTAGCTTAACCGATATTTCATATGCTTTTACTACATAGCCAAGCCAACATCTGAGTCAAGTACTTCTCTGATGAATGCTGAATAGAATAGTTTCTCATTCCACCGCAAGGTTAGAATGACTATTGGTGGTATAAGTGAACTCCATGTAAATAAAGAGTCACTTTCATAGCTTGCAGCTGCTTCCTGATATTCTTCTGTAAGCACGGCATTATGTTTAAGAAGATGTGGGACATGGAAGATGCACAAACTTTTGCATGGAACTTGAATTGTGTTTGTGTAATTAGGACAGAAACTTCAAATCAACCTGATAGCCATTAAGATTTCAGCATGCTCTTTCCACCCATTCCGACCATGTGGCTCCAAAGCTGAAATCAAACTAAATGCCAAGGATATTTGACTGTAAAACAGTAAAGTGTTAAGAACTCTCAACAGAAGTAACCAGCCCCTTGCCCCCTGGCAAGTGCTGATGTATTGGAGCGAAGGAATGAAGTAGGAGGAAACAGTTGCCTTGCCGTCTCCCCAGCCTGGTCCCAGACATCCCTACACAAGTAGCCCTTTGACTCTCTTCTGCTTCTTTTTTCTTCCGAGGAATGATAAGGATCACCCCCGTAGTGGTTTTAGGACCAAGAGCTGTGTAAACCTGCGTTTTGTCTGTTTAAATAGACCAATTTGAATGGGTCACACACAAATGTTTAAACCTTGGTATCAAACAAAGCTGACGGAAAATGGGGAAGGATCTTAAATGTTAAATGGCTTGTTTGAGGTGTTTGCTGCTGTAACTGAGAGGGAAATCTTCCCACACAAGGGCAGAGTGCCACAGGCAGAATCACTAGGCTTAGCACCAGTCCCTGCAGGACACAGGTCAGAATCCAATGGGCCCGTGTGTTAAGGAAAGCTCTTTAATAAGCAGCTGTGAACAGTGACCCAGAGACAACAATTACCAATGGAAAAAAAGAATTGAGATGTTTCTTGTACTTCTAAGCAATAAGCAAGTGTGTGCAGAGAGTCTTGAATGTTCCTGTGAGCTGTACCGGGCTCAGCTTGCTACACGTGAGCAGGTGTGCGTAAAACAGCATGTGATAGACCTTGCCTTGTAGTCTAAAATCTGTGAGTTGTATGTGCTGTCACTATAACCTAACACCTGTCTCTTTTGCACATTTCATAACATGCAGGAGATGCAACAGCCCCCGTTCTTTTAAACCACTCCTTGTTTTTCCTTCCAAGAGTCGGTCTGCTAATGACAAAAGGAGCAGCCAGAGGGAGGACTTGTCACCCCAAGATACTTTTGTGCCCAGCATGGGCTGGAGTCAGGGAAGGGGCAGGCATACCTCAGGCAGTGAAAATGAAGGTGAGCCAGATCTGAGCAGAGACAGGGATGCCCCCCAGCCAAGGTTTCTAAACCTTTACTTTGGATTTGCATAGGCACCCACAAAGATAGCCATTGTTATGAAGGGAGTCTGAATCTTTTTCGTATGCATTTAAGCAAAGTGATTACTTTCACTAAGCCCTAGGGGGAGAGCTGTGGTAAAAACAGTACTTTCTAAAGTCTTCATCTGCACCAGGCCTCTTAACACACTGTCATTTAAAGCCCAGCCATTTTTTTTTTTTTTTTGATCCAATGAGACTATTATCTTGCTCCCTTTTATACCAATGGGGAAACTAAAAGTCAGAGAGGGGAGGTAACTTTGCATACAGCAAACCAATGGAAGAACCAGATTTCAAGCCTAAGTGTGCCAGGTTCTAGAATCTTCTCTCTTGGTCTCAGTTCTTTTCTTCTTTTGCCCATTTAAGAAACGTTTTTTCAGCACTTGCACCGGTGTGTTCCAAGTACACATGTGGTGGTTAGAGGACAACTTTAGGAAGTTGGTTCTTTCTTTCCATCTTGTTGAGCAGGGTGTCTCTTGTTTCTGCTGCTATGCAGCCCAGGCCAGCTGGTCCAAGAGGTCCAGGAGGATTCGCCCCTCCCCTCTTGCCTTAGGAGTGCTAGTATTAAAATGTGTGTTACCGTATGCAGCTTCTTTCAGGGGTTCTGAAGATTGAACTCAGATCATGAGGCTTGTGTAGGAAGTGCTTTTACCTGATGATCATCACCCAGCCCCAGGCTCTACCCTTTCTTTCTTTACTTCTATGTTTATATTTTATTTTTACTGATTTATGTGTATGTTTGTAGGTATGTGCTGTGTGTGTGAGTGCACTAGAGGCCAGAAAAGGGCATTGGATAGCCTGGAGCTGGAAGGTGAGCCACCCAGTGTGGATACTGGGGAACTGAACTCTGGTCCTCTGGAAGAGCAGCAAGCGCTCTTACTCCCTGAATCATCTCTCCAGCCCTCTTCCGCCCTTTCAAAGGGTGATTAGTTTTACCAAGGACAGCATCTTTCCCTCCTATTTTCCTCATTCATAATGAAAGGACGGTTGTTCCTAATTGAGCCCCTCCTGTATCCTGGGCCCTTCTTACATCTCTGAGTAGACAACCTGATGACACATTACAACCAGAAGAAAGAGTAAACCATGAGCTACCCTCTGATAGTTCAGTTCTGTATCTCTCGTCCAGCTGTTCCTTTGTTCTTTCTTGGCAGTAGGATGGCATTTCCATTCCATCTTGGGTCATCAGAGCTCTGGAATAGGGCAGTTGAGGTGAAATGCACTGGGTGGCTTTGTGTCAGTGACTTCGATTTTCACCTTTGGCAAATGATGATGGTGGGTTGTGACTAGCACAAGAGATAATGCAGACAAAAACCAGTGGGGACTGGTTCCTAGAGAAGGTCTGGGCAATCGTTTCTTCTCTGCCACTGTCCTGGAAAGTGGAGGCAGAGTAGAGGTATAGAATAGTGTGTCTGCCTTCACAGTCCAGCCGGAAGTCCAGCCTTATCAGCATCATCAGGTCAGTCAGGCCTGGGGAGGAAGCTGAGCAGGGGCCATGGAAGCACATCAGATGCAGGACTTTGTCTTTGCGTTTGTCTCTAGTTTCAGAGGGCCAGACCTGGGATAACTACCTCAGACACTTCACTGATAATGTGACTAAGATGTAGGGGTGGTGGTGGAGGAGTTTAGGGAGCAGAGCAGAAGAGGATACCAAGACTAAGCATGTATAAAATAGAGCTCTAACAGTAGAATGGAAAGAATACGGATTTTGAGTTCAAATATGTTCAAGTTTTTCTCCACTGTTGATTTTTGGGCATGTCCCTTCATCTCTCTGAGCCTCAGTTTCTTCGTCTTGAGATTGATTGAGTTGCTACTACAAACCAGGCAATTTTTGCTCACTTATCATGTGGATTTCTTATCTGAAGGGGTTTATATCACAAGTCCTCTACAAGATGCTGTTATAGCCTAGTCGTTATATGCCACCATTTTGTGCCCACTTGTTTAATGAATACCGAGCTGTGTACCCATAGCCTTGTACTGTTCATTCTGGGTGTCATTTGGTCTTAGTTATGATATCTCGTACATATTCTATCTTCAATAAATACCTGTTTTCAGCTTAATTCACCCCATTGTGTACCATAGAGTTCAGCTATTAAGTTAAACTTTGTGATTGAAACTTTGAAAATCAAAAGTAAAGTGTAGCTGAGTGGCAGAGAATTATTCAGAATGTGTGAGGCTCTGGGTTCTATTCCAGCCACCAGAAAAAAATAAAAACAGCCGAAGTGGTTAAATATTTACAGAAATGGAAAAAACTTCTGACCTGGGCATGTAGCTCAGTTGGTAGAGTGCTTGTCTGACATACAGGAAGTCCTGGGTTCAATCCCCAGCACAGCATAAACTGATAGGAAGGCTTATGCTATAATCCTAGAACTCAGAAAGTCAAGGCAGAAGGATCAGAAGTTCAAGATTATTTTTAGCTATGTAGAAAGTTCAAGACCAGCCTATGATACACCAGACTGTGCCTTAGAAAAAGAAAGAAGAAAAGAAGAGGGCTGGTAAGATGGTTCAGCAGGTAAAGGTAACTGCCATCAAGCCTAATTACTTGAGTTCAATCCCCAGGACCCATATGATGGAAGGAGAGAATCCACAATCAAAAATTGTCTTTGATCCTCCACACGTGCTGTGGCACATGCACTACAGAGAGAGAGAGAGAGAGAGAGAGAGAGAGAGAGAGAGAGAGAGAGATGCTGTGGCACATGCACTACAGAGAGAGAGAGAGAGAGAGAGAGAGAGAGAGAGAGAGAGACAGAGAGACAGACAGAGGGAGAGACAGAGAGAGACAGAGAGAGACAGAGAGAGAGACAGAAAAACAAGAAGACAAGAAGGAGGGAGAGGAGGAAGATGAGGAAGAGGAAGAGAAGGAAGAGAGGAAGAAGTGAGGGGGAGGGGAAAGAAATAGAAACCTCCTTCCTAAAATTCAGTTGGCATCTCCAGGGATTCCAAATGGCCAAAACAATCTTGAAAACAAAACAAAACAAAAACACAGTTGGAGCACTTACACTTGCTACAAAGTCTATGCAAACAGTGTAGAAGTATAAAAGAATCAGATATAGGCTAATGGAAAAGGACAGACAATCCAGAGATAAACCTTCACATGTATGGTCTAATGACTTTTGGAAAGGGTACAGTCTTTTAACAGATTGCTCTGAAAAATAGATGGCCACAAACAGAAGGTAAAAGGTAGACCCTAACCTAACACCTTATGCAAAAAATTAACAACTATCAAAGATCTAAATGTAGGTCTAAAATTATAAAACTTCTAGAAGAAAACTCAAGAAAAACGCTTCCTAGGAGTGGGTGATTTCTTGGATCTGGCACCAAAGTCACAGACAACAAAAGAAAAAATAGACAAATTGGAAAAAAAAATTTAATTCTTTGTATCAAAAAACACTATTGGCAGAGCAGAAAGGAATGCATGTGTATCTGGAAATGGATTGGTCTTCGGAATACACAGAAAACTCTTAAAACTCAACAATGACAATAACAACCCAATTTAAAAACAGGTAAAGGACTCAAATAGACATTTCTTCAAAGAAGATAAACAGATGGCCAATAAGTCCATGAAAAGATGCTCATCATCACTGATTATGTAGAAATACAAATCTAAACAATAAGAAACCATGTCATAACTATTAAGGACACCGAAAAGAAATTTAAAAAAAATTTCAGTGAGGAGAGGTAGAAATTGAAACCCTTAGCGACAGTAGGAGTGTAAAATAGTATTGTTATATTACAAAGCAGTGTGATGGTTCCTAAAATAAAAACAGACTTGCAGATGATGTAGCAATTTCAGTTCTGAGCATATAACCAAATCAACTGAAAACAGAGTCTCAAAGATATATTTCTATACATATTTATTATTCACGATAGCAAATGCAGAAGCAGTCCAAACGCTTGTTGAAAAATGAAGTGAAGCTGGGCATGGTGGCACATACCTTTGATCCCAGCACTCAGGAAGCAGAGGCAGGCAATCTGAAATCAAAGGCAGGACAGCCTGGTCTCCATGAGCATATCCAGGCCAGCTGCAGCTACAGGGATACCTTGTCTCAAAAAGACCGAAAGAAATAAATAAATAAAAAAGAAGAAGAA